GCCTATTTATCTTGCAGTTTTGACAAGTCCTGCATATTATTTATGCAGCTCTTTATAGTTTGCAAAGTGCTCTTCAAAGAATTATACATTCTTTACAGTAATCTTACGAAGTGGGTACTATTGCTATTCCTGTTTCATGGAAACAATGAAAGATTATTAGACTATTCAAAATTATGTTATTATGAAGAGCAAGATATAGTCCTAGATCTTTTGGTTCTAAATCTTACCCTTCTCATATTATAAATTCATAATCAGTTATCAGAATTTAGTAAATATGTAAGTATGGAAGCTGTATGAACATTTGAAATAATGTATATAAAAGTCTGTGAAAAAAGTTAAAGTCCCTTTATAATTGAATATTAATGGTATTTTACATCGTGATATTGAATGTCTAACATGATCTTTAGTATGACATAAAACACTTCAGTATGTAACATGCCATTGTCTTAGTTTAGCAAACAAGGCTCTTCACAAGTTGCTGCCTACCTACTTTTCTATTCTCATCTCAATCACTTCCTGTCACTTATCTCTGTACTTACCCTATTCTTTTACATCTATAATAAACTCCTGGCTATTGTCCTAACACACTATGCATTTCCAGGAAGTATGATGTGGCACCATTGATGCCAATGATCTTGTTCAAGAAGCAACAAAGAGAGTTATGGTTTCTCTGCATTTTCATTAGCCACTCATTGTTAGCTGCTTTACTTGTTAAAGGAAATATTGATGTTCTCTAGGGGTCTGGTCTTTCTGTGTGCACTGCAGAGATGCATAATTGCTACAGAGAGTGGGGGAGGGACAGTCACCAAGGAGAGATCCGCTCCATCTTCTTTGTTCACATCTGCTGCATGCACAAGGCAGGATTTATTGCTTTCTTGGCGAATGTGATTGCCTACCTTGCCTCTCCTCTCCCCTCTTCTGGTGGATCATCCCAGAGGAATATTACCATCTCATCACACTCATCTATGAATGGAGCATAATAGATGGAAAGCTGGAGGCAGAGGATCAGGTGAGAGGCACTAGGAATACTTGCTAATGAGAGAGTGGCTAATTAGTGGCACATCCCAGCCCAGTCTTCTGTCTTATCTCCTGCCTCCCTGTAGCTTGTCATCCATGACCACAGTGGGACAGTTGTTCAGCTCTCAACATTTCAATTTGATTTCTGTGCATATCGGCTTAGGATTGTGGTTTATTAAAACCACAACTGTTACCTAACACTGAAAGAGTTCTATCTTGTCTAATGGGTTTTCAGAAGTACATTTGATTCTTCTTTTTCTACTTTCTAGTTTACATTTCTGGGAGAAACATTCTTCCTTCCCTGTTCTCTTTCTCCTTTCCCTTCCTCACCTTATCTCTCATTGGTATGTGAATGTAAACCTGCATTATTTTCCAACCTCTATGAATAATTTAAAATACAGTACCTATGAACATTCTCTGTTTAACTTAATTTTACCTTTTTTAATCCCAGACTATATCTATATTATTCAGTGTCCAGATCAAATGTCAGTTTTTACTGTAGTAAAATGGATGGAGATTCACATACACACTTGATTGTAGTTCTTCCTATGCTGGACTGGCTAATTTGTATTAGAAACATTTGTACGGTTTCTTTTCATTTGTTTGTTTATTTTGAGGAGAAAGATGGTGCTGTTAAGAGCATAGTTTTTGTTCAAATTCTGCCTTTTGACTGAACTGCCAGAAAGTTAATCAACCTCCCTGGTATCATTTCCTTATTTATAAAAATAAATAATGATACCATACTAAGTGGTATCAAACGGGGAGGATGGTCTTATTGAAACAGCACAGTATCTGGCACACAATAAACACTTAAAAATAAGACCTATATAATGCTAGTAGTAATTATTATTGCTATTTTAATATATGAGATAATTTACAACTGATTTTTTTAATACATTTTTATTGATTTCAGAGAGAGAAGGGAAAGGGAGAAAGAGAGATGAAAACATCAGTGATGAGAGAGAATCATCGATCAGCTGCTTCATGCACGCTCCACCTAGGGGATCGATCCCGAAACCCGGAGCACGTGCCCTGACCAGAAATTAAACCGTAACCTCCTGGTTCATAAATCAATGCTTAACCACTGAGCAACACCGGCTAAGCTGATATTTTTTTCTTTTTTTTCCTCTTTTTTATTGATTTCAGAGAGGAAGGGAGAGGGAGAGAGAGAGAGAGAAGCATCAATGATAAGAGAGAATCATTGATTGGCTGCCTCCTGCACGTTCCTTACTGAGGATCAAGCCCACAACCTGGCATGTGCCCTTATCTGGAATCGAACCTGGGACCCTTCAGTCTATAGGCCATTGATCTATCCACTGAGCCAAGCCAGCTAGGGCTGATTTTTTTCTTAATATCACAATATATGAAGAATTTTTTTTCTTGCTTCAAGGTATGACCTATTGTAATTGTTTTGTCACATTTCAAAAGGATGTTTCCATAGCATTGTAGATTTTTCTATTATATATTACCCTATATTCTAATACTAGAATCTTTACATTCTCTAGATCTGCACTGTTCAATATCATAGCCACTGAACATGCATGTATTTAAATTGAATGAAAATTAAATACAATTAAAAATGCAGCTCTTCAGTAATTCTACACATATTTAGGTGCTGCATAGCCACATGTGACTAGTGGCTACTCATTAGACAGTGCAGATGTAGAACATTTGCATTATCACTGACAGTTATATTGGACAGCAATACTTTAGATGTTCCTAGTCTATGCTCCTGCATTCCTTTCTTAGAAATCAGAAGAGGGTATATTTTCTAGGATGTTGCAGAGACTCCTGTCTTAATGTTTCAGGGCTTTGGACATCAAAGGACTCAGGTTAGTCTTTTTTTTTTTTTAATATATTTTATTGATTTTATACAGAGAGGAAGGGAGAGAGATAGAGAGTTAGAAACATCGATGAGAGAGAGTCATCGATCAGCTGTCTCTTGCACACCCCCTACTGGGGATATGCCCGAAACCAAGGTACATGCCCTTGACTGGAATTGAACCCGGGACCCTTCAGTCCCCAAGCCGACGCTCTATCCATTGAGCCAAACCGGTCCCGGCTCAGGTTAGTCTTCTTACTCCAGCCCCTTAGTGTCATTACTGTATTTTGAAAGAAACAGAGGCATTTTCACTTCCCCCAAGTAAATCACATTACCATAATTTTTAAAGGTCCCAGTCAAAACTTGTGTCTGTCCTAATATTGTGAGTATTAGAATCCTTAGGGGCTAACTAGTAACAGGGGTTCTAATGTCTTTTTTGTAAATACATTATATTATTCAAATTCCGAGTTTTCTCTCTCAGAAAGATAGTAAACAGCAAGTTTTTCCTGAATAATCTCTATTATCTGTATTTTGTACTTTGTATTATGCACTTTTAAAGACTTTTTTTTTTTCATTTGTTCTTCACAACAATTTAGGGAAGCAAATAGTATTAAGATTGCATTCCTATTTTACTGATTAAAAACCTAAGGCTTGTCAAAACGGGTTTGGTTCAGTGGATAGAGCATCAGCCTGCGGACTGAAAGGTCCTAGGTTCAATTCCGGTCAAGGGCATGTACCTTGGTTGCGGGCACATCCCCAGTAGGGGATGTGCAAGAGGCAGCTGATGGATGATTCTCTCTCATCGATATTTCTAACTCTCTATCCCTCTCTCTTCCTCTCAGTAAAAAGTCAATAAAAAATATGCTAAAAATAAATAAATAAAACCTGAGGCTTAGTACAATTAATTACTTGGCTAAATACTTTAAGAAAAAATAAAATTGTTATTCAAAACAGGATAAAATTATAACTTCAAGCCCTGGCCAGTGTGGCAAATACCTGGGTTGCGGGTTTGATCCCTGGCTCCAGTTGGGACTGTATGCAGGAGACAACCAATTGATGTGTCTTTCTCACATCAATGTTTCTCTCTCTCCCCCTTCCCTCCCCTTCCTTCCACTCTGTCTCTAACAATCGATGGAAAAAATATCCTTGAGTGAAGAGTAACAAAAAATAAATAAATTTAACTTTCAGTTCAATATTTTGTTTTGTTTTTATTTTGTAAAAGAAAGATTAAAGCTTCTTTAGGACAACTTGGAAACTGATGACTGTTGTATGAAGTACTCAGAGAATTACTGCAGCCTCATTGGTCCTATGGCCACTGCCATAACAAAATGCCACAGACTGGGTGGCTGAAACAACAGAAATTTATTTTTTCACAGTTCCTAAGGCTAGAAGTCCAAGGTCAAGGTGTTTGCGGGGCTGGTTTCTGGTGAGGCATCTCTCGTTGACTTATAGACAAGTGTCCTCATGTGGCCTTTTTCTCTGTATGTCCTTGAGGAGGGAGTGAAGGAGGAAGAAGAGAGAGAGAGAGAGAGAGAGATAACTAGAGAGAGAAAGAGAGAGAGAGAGCGCTTTCTCTTCTTAATCTGACACCAGTCCTGTCAGATTAGAGCTCCACCCCATAACCTCATTTAATTTTAGTTATTTCCTTAAAAGTCCTATCTCCAAATATTGTCACATTAGAGATTAGAACTTTAACATATGAATATTGTGGGAACACAGATCAGTTCGTTACATTATGTTAATGGTGTTTGAATATCTTTTGATTTTTCTGGCTTACCCTAATTGGAAATTATATTTATATTAAACATTTTTATGGGAATAAATGTAGCAAGTATCTATATTCTTTATCTCTGCAGATATTGAGGCTTATTAAATTAAACCTGTGGTACTTGCTAGAAGGTACTGTCTAACACTGAGATAATCTAATAAGCAAAAAAATTATGTCTGTCATAGTTTTCTTCTAATGCAGCCTATTTTATTAATAGCTGAAAGTCTTAGTACTTTACAGGATAATAAATGTCCACTTCTTTTCCACCCCAACTTTACAGATGGAGAAATTAACATACAGAGAAACTGACTTGTCAGAGGTCAGAGCAAGGTATTGGTGGATCCAGGGATAAATCCCAAACTTCTTAACACCTTGTCCAGTTTTTCATTGACTATGCAGCCTAGTGGTAAGTATCTTTTTACTCTTAGAGGTAAGAGGGATTAAGAGCCTTAGCAAGGACTAAATTTAAAGAATTTCTCATTACTAATTAGATTATTCATTATCCTTTCCTGTTAGCCATGATGTCATTTTTTTTCATTAGATGAATTTTCCAGGTCATGAAAGGAGGCTGGAAGTTTTGCTTTTTTAAAAAAAATTTCAATCATAGTTGACATTCAATGTTATTATTTGTATTGATTTCAGAGAGGAAGGGAGAGGGAGAGAAAGATAAAAACATCAATGATGAGAGAGAATCATTGATTGGCTGCCTCCTGCATGTCACCCACTTGGGATTGAGCTTGCAACCTCAGCATGTATCCTGACCCAGAATCAAATGGTAAACTCCTGGTTCATAGGTCACTGCTCAATCACTGAGCCACACCGGCTGGGTGGAAGTTTTACTTTTTAAATACTTAAAAATATTTTTATAATGGTTCAACTATACTGGAGATTATTATTAAGAAAGGAAAGGAAAAAAAAACATTTAATGTATTTTTTATCCGTGTTAGGTACCATGCTAGAAACTTTGCATTACGTTATTTTACTTAAACTAGAGGCCCAGTGCATGAATTCATGCACGGGTGGGGTCCCTTGGGATGGCCTGTGGATATCGGGCCCCAGCTCGGGCCCCAGCTTGTGCTCCCAGCCCCACAGCTCCGCCTGGCATCTTGCCTTGGCCTGGCGCAGCCCCCTCACCTGCTCCACCATCCTGCCTGCAGGGTGATCGATCGGAGCTAGATCCTTTGCCTGGCTCCCTCAGTGCTTGGAAGTCAGGTGGCAACCCCACCCCCCACAACCGCTGCTGCTGGTCGCTGAGTGTGGAACAAATAGCAAGCTCGGACTGAGAGGCTGAGGGCACAAGTGGGGCCCAATCTCCACGGGCTATCCCAAGGGATCCCACCCATGCATGAATTCATACACTGGGCCTCTAGTTTAAGTAAAATACATAATGCAGTGTTTCTAGCATGATATCTAAACCGCAGTCGGACATCTTCTCAAAATCTGGGACTGCTGGCTCCTAACCACTTGCCTGCCTGATTGCCACCAGTAGCCCTCCCCTGCCCATCCAATGGCTCCCAGCTGCCCTCTCCTGCCGGTCTAGTCACCCAAAATTTTCTTCCTCTGCAGGCCTGGTTAGCCCCAACTGCTCTCCCCTGCAGGCCTGTTGACCCCCAACTGCCCTCCCCTGCCAGCTTGATTGCCCACAACTGCCCTGTTTTGCCGGCCACCTTGTGATGACACGGGAGTGGCCATCTTGTGAGGGCATGAGGGCCACCTAGGCTTTTATTAATATAGAGTTTAGGACTTGATCTTTGAAGGCTTTTAAATGAGGTGGTGACAAGTTTTATTTTATCCATATTTTAGAAAATTATTATCAAAGTATGGGTTGAAAGGAAGTGAGATCAAACAGGAATTAAGTAACTATTTTTATAGGTCAAGGTGAGAGATAATGCAATCTTAACTCAGATTAAGAGCAGAGGAAATGCCCATTTTAGAGGTAGAACTAATATAATTTGATAACCTAGTTGATTTGGGAGGACAGGGAGTGCAGACAATTAAAAAGGATTTCAGGTTTCTGAATTATTATTTTTTTTTTTTTTAAATATATTTTATTGATTTTGTACAGAGAAGAAGGGAGAGAGATAGAGAGTTAGAAACATCAATGAGAGAGTCATCGATCAGCTGCCTCTTGCACACCCCCTACTGGGGATATGCCCACAACCAAGGTACATGCCCTTGACCGGAATCGAACCCGGGACCCTTCAGTCCCCAAGCCGACGCTCTATCCATTGAGCCAAACCGGTCTCGGCAGGTTTCTGAATTATTACTATTAACTGGGAAAAAGACTACTAGAGAAGAAATATCCTGCCTGGTAAAAGGAAATAAAACAAAACTAGTTATTTAAAAAAAGTAGCTATATATCATAATATACTCTGAAACATGGCCGTTATGTTTAGAATGTTTGAAAAGTTATACAACTACTTCCCTTTAAAAATTTTTTTTTTAAATATATTTTTATTGACTTCAGAGAAGGAGAAGGAACAAGAGAGAGAAACATCAATGATGACAGAGAATAATTGATCAGCTGTCTCCTGCACGCCCCTCTCTGGGGGCCACGCCTGCAACCCAGGGATTTGCCTTGAATGGAAATCAAACCATGGCCTCCTGGTTCATAGATTGATGCTCAACCACTGAGCCACACTGACTGGGCACTAGCTCCTTTTTTTTTTTTTTTTTTTTTTAATCTATTTTATTGATTTTTTATGATGAGGAAGAGAGAGGGATAGAGAGTTAGAAACATCAGTAAGAGAGAAACATTGATCAGCTGCCTTCTGCACACCTCCTACTGGGGATGTGCCTGCAACCAAGGTACATGCCCTTGACAGGAATCGAACCCTGGACCTTTCAGTTCGCAGGCTGACGCTCTATCCACTGAGCCAAACCGGTTTCGGCTGGCTTTTATTTTTTGTCTTTACTAAGATATTTTTTTCTAAACTGCATTAGTCGCTTTTTAAATACTATTTTATTAATCTTGTAACCTGATTTCTATTTATTGTGGCTTCCTGAGGCAGTTTTACATATATTGGTAGCTCATCTTAAGTCATATGGTACTGAAAAATTATATAAATACACTATATATTGGTATATAATGTTTAAGAATACATTCCTTTTTTAAAAAATATATTTTATTGATTTTTACAGAGAGGAAGGGAGAGGGATAGAGAGTTAGAAACATTGATGAGAAAGAAACGTGGATCAGCTGTCTCCTGCACACCCCCCACTGGGGATGTGCCCACAACTAAGGTACATACATGCCTTGACCAGAATCAAATCTGGGACCCTTCAGTCTATAGGCCGAGGCTCTATCCACTGAGCCACACCGGTTAGGGCTACATTCCTTCTAATTATAAAAGTAATTGTGAAAAACTTTAAATATAAATTCAGTTATGATACCCTAATATCTTTTGTCTCTGTCAGCAATTTTTAAGCCTGATAAACTTAGTAAATTTTAGTAATTATTTAGAGGAGAACAGACATGGCAGATTACTAGAAAGACAGGGGTCCTCGAACCAGGAGAGAAGGCACATACTTGAAGTGGAACACTGACCAGTTCGCCTGGAATGTGGTAGAAAAGGAAAAAGTCATAATACATAAGATCGGAGGAGTCAGATCCTGCATAGCTTTGTAAGGTATCCTTAACTCCGTGTGAAGCTGTTGGAGGTCCTCAAGCAGATAAATGACATTTTATGTTTTAAAATGATGCTCACTTTAACCCCTATGTAGAAAATATGTTGAAGTAGGCCAAGAGTAGAAAAAGGAAAAGTGAGCAGAAAAACCCTTTTTGAATGAGGCAATAATGTGAGAAAGTAAGAAAGCAGTGACTATAGACAACTCTTAAAATAAGTTTTCTCTCTTTTTTTTTCTTTTTTATTGTTTGTTTTTTTTTTTTTTTTTAAATATATTTTATTGATTTTGTACAGAGAGGAAGGGAGAGAGATACAAAGTTAGAAACATCGATGAGAGAGAGTCATCAATCAGCTGCCTCTTGCACACCCCCTACTGGGAATATGCCCGCAACCAAGGTACATGCCCTTGACCGGAATCGAACTCGGGACCCTTCAGTCCCCAAGCCGACGCTCTATCCATTGAGCCAAACCGGTCCCGGCCTTTTTTATTGTTTAAAGAGAAAAAATTAAAAACAAATATACCTAATTATAACTAGTGAAATATTTTGCTTTAAAGTTTACTTTATCTGACTCTAATATAACTACGTACTTCAACTTATTTTTGTTGGCAGTATTTTTTTTAGTTTATTCTTCTGTTCTTCCCTTTTTATATTTGAGGTTTATCTCTTATAAATAGCATGTTTTTTTAAAATATAATTCAACTATATTTGTTGGATTTTAATTGGAATAATTAAAACATTTCACTTTCTTTGGGAAAAAATAAAATAAGTTTTCCTATGAAGAAGAGAAAAGTTGAAGGATATAGCAGGAGAGATATGTCAGATTAAGAGGTGATGTTTGTCGGGTTTTTGTCTTTAATAGGTGAAGGAGTAGTAAGAATGCTGATGCAAACGATCTATTAGAAGGGGAGTCTTTGCAAAGCCCTAAGAGGAGGAGAGAAAATGAGATCTGGAGCAAGAATTGAGGGTTAACTTTTGATAAAAACAAGGACACTTTATCCACAGCAGCAGGAGACAATCAGAAAGAATGATGAATGAGTAGCTTCATTCATTCACCAAATGTTTTAACTGAGAACCTACTACTATACTATGCAATGGGGATACTAGTAGACCACTAAATAAGATGTGTATCTTTCTGAAAAGAGTGGCTTGTCGAAGGTTTCTATCCCTTTTTGTCGTTTTCTCAGTGAACCCAGAATTAATGTACTCCCCTAAGAGCAAAGGTGAGGGAGGGAATATTTGGAGTATGAGGATAGAGAAAGGCATATGAATTTGTTTTTTGGAAAGTAGAAAAGCAAGTAGGAAATGTGGTGTGATTTGCAGATGGTGTTAAGTAGCATTTGAGAGTTACGGCCATGTGTTTAAAGTGAGACCAGTAAACTTGCATTTGTTTTTCTTTAGTACTGAACTGTTGGAATAGGCATGGTATAGGGGGTTTAAGTGGCTTAAACCAAAGTTAGGATTGAGGCTTGGTCAAGAGTGTTTGCAGGAAGTGATTTTAATGAGAGATCACCGAATCTGAGCTGGGTAGGAAGAGAAGTGAAAATGTGATGGGTAATTGATGGTGAGAAAGTGGTAGATGGACAATAGACTAATCTAAATTTTCAAACGAGGAAAATATTTCTATTATATAAGTTATGTATCCTCTTTATAGAAAAATTTTAAATACATGAAATTAGGGAATAGAAAGGGGGAAAAGACTACAGATTGAATGATTTAAATAATACAAATTTATTTTCTCACAGTTCTGGAAGCTGGAAGTCCAAAATCAATGTTTTGGACGTAATTTTCTTTCTGAGTCCTCTCTCCTTGGCTTATAGATGTCTGTCTTCTTTCTGTGTCTTTACTTCATCTTTTCTTTGTCGTCGTCTGTGTCTGAATTTTCTCTTATATGGATGCCCATCATATTAGATTAGGGCCCACCCTAATAACCTAATTTTAAGTTAATTACCTGCTTAAAGACCCTCCAGATGGTCAAATTGAGATATTAGGGAGGATTTCAACATTAATTTTGGGGGGACACAAATTAGCTCATCACAGAGCTGTTCTTTGTTTTTCATTTTTTTACATAATTGTTATTATTCCATGAATATAATTTTTATCCCATATTTTAACAGATAATATTATAACTTAAACATTTTCCTGTTTTGTTGCTTAGCCTTTGTAAAAGTTTAAGAGCTGCAGAATATATTGTCAGATGAATGTATTGCAGTAACTTAATTAGCCTTCTCTTGTGAACATTTAGGTATTCCATTCCCTTTTTTTTTTGTTATTTATAAACACTACAGAAGCTTTTAAAATAAAAGCCTTTTTTTTCCTGTATCTTGTATTATTTCCTTTGAATAGAGTCTCAGAAGTACTTTATCCGAAACTATTAATACGTACTCCTCAATTGGAGAAGCATTGAATCTTTTATTTTATTTTCACATGACTTTTTTTTTTTACCTCTCACAGAAATAGACTGGAATGATGTTAGAAAACACAAATATGGTCATCTGTTGGAGTCTGCATCCCAATATCAAGGTAAGAAAAATATCCTGTTTAGAATGGAAGACTTATCTGGCATTTCTTACCATAAAACCTTTGAGTGTACAAAGAATTCACTGGTTAAAACAAAAACAAATATTATCATTTATAGGGGTATCTGTCAAAATCAATATGCTTTGTTTTGAACTGGAAATCAGGAATTTTAGATTCCAAGTACAGATAATCCCAAATTAGCTTCAGAGCTTTAAGCATAGTTAGTTAGCTTCTCTGGACTTCCATAGTTTTTAAGAGGCTTGGGTGGTATATTTCTACAACTATTACTACTAAACTTAATGTCTTTTAAAATGGGAGAATTGGACTAGACAAACCCTCAAGCCCTCGTTTTACCCCCAATCTTCACTTTTCTATTATTTTGGTAAGTTTGTTATGATGACTTATGCTGTGACATTTTTTTCTTTAATAGAAGCTACTGACATCCTGGAGTTAGGTAAGATATTTTTCTTATGTTTCTGTTACTAAACCAGGGATTAGATTATAACTAGGAAAAGAATTCTATGTGTCTGTCTCAAACTAGTGGATCCTGTGCTCTTCTCTACATAATGAGCCCATGTAATTCATCTCTGCTGCTATGTCAAAACCTCTTTATCAGGAGGCCAAAGACCAAGCTAACAAAAAGGAAGAAGGTGGAATTTAATTATAAGGAGGATGGGAACTGAACCAAACTGGAAGTAACCTCATAATTTACTAAATCCAGAACTAAAACAAACCCCCACCATCCATAAATAAGAATTTGGTAGGATTTTCCCCAAAGAAATTATTTATGAGAGATATTGAACTGAAATGAAACTTAAGGATATTCTAATTTTTAACTAAATAAAAACTAAAATATTAAAATATCAAATAACAAGAGTCAGACTAATATTGCATTTGGTTTTCATCCCTGCATAGTATACTTTAGGAGTAGGATTTGAGAAATATTGATGATATTTCTCTATCGAGGCTCTTATATAAACATCAGTCTTAACTTCTTAAAGTTCTTTAAATTTTTTCTACATGTTACATGTATATTGATAGCCTGATGCCTTTATCAATTTTTGTTCAAGCATTTTTATATATTTTGTTACTGCTACTTCATTTGTTCAGCTCTATTATTGTCTATTTGCTTCCTCCACCTTTTCTTTTAATAACATATTACTTTCACTGCCCACTGATAAAGATAACATAAAGTAGTAGAACATTAGAGTAGGAACCAGAACCTCTGGGTTCTTTGAAAGCCAACTCTGCCTCTTAGAAAGTTTGTGACACTGATCCTTAGTTTTTAGAATTGTCAAATGGAGATAATAATCCATTCTGCCTACTTAACAGAGTTGTTAAGAATCCTATCTAATAGCCGAAGCTGGTTTGGCTCAGTGGTAGAGCGTTAGTCTGCGGACTGAAAGGTCACAGGTTCGATTCCGGCAAGGGCATGTACATTGGTTGTGGGCACATCCCCAGTAGGGGGTGTGTAAGAGGCAGCTGGTCGATGTATCTCTCTCATCGACATTTCTAGCTCTTTATCTCTCTCCCTTCCTCTCTGTAAAAAATCAATAAAATATATTAAAAAAAAAAAAAAGAAAAAAGAAAAGAAATGCAATCCTTTAAAAAATAATAATAATAATCCTATCTAAAAAAGAGGTGAATATGCTAATTGACTCTCATGCTGCCACAAAGATGGCGGCACCCACAGCCAATAAGCAGGGAATATGCTAATTGACTGCCATACCCTCAAAGATGGCGGTAGCCACAGCCACAAGATGGTGGCGCCCAGTCCCTTAGTCTCACCAGGGTGGCAGGCATGGGGCAAGGCCAGGTGGGCCTGACTGCTCCACGCTCCTACTTCTGAAGTTCCCCAGTCCCCCAGCTGCCCAGGGCTACCTGAGGCTCAAGATAGCCAGGGCTGGCTGAGACTTGTGCTGCCGGCAGTGGCAGCAGGAGAAGTATGATGGGGCATTGCCTTTCCCTGATTGCTGAGTCCCCTCCCACCCCTAAAGGCTCCCGGACTGTGAGAGGGGGCAGGCTGGGCTGAGGGACCCCCCTCTAGTGCATGAATTTTCATGCACCTGGCCTCTAGTGTTACATAAGCTAAATGGATGTGAAAACATCTTAAATACTTTTCAATGTTGGAGGATAATTATTTTAGTGCTTTTCAGTAACTATCCCAGGCATAAATTTACTAGTCCAGAAAAGAGAAGGGCTATTACTTGCTTGCTTCTTTTCATTCACTCAACTTTTATTTAGCTTCTATTAAGTTTCAGGTACTTTGTTAAACAGTGATGATTTTAAAAAATTAATAAAAGATAGCTCCTGTCCTTAAGCAATTATGATATAATGTGATGAGCATGAAAATAAAGGTGTGAGTATGATGTTATAGGAGGCAGGGATATGGATGAATTTTTTTTTTTTTTTAACCTGGGAAGACAGGTAAAGCCAGAAATTCTTTTTTAGCTATTGATCTAAAAAACTTATGAACAATGTTTTTGAGAATAAATTATTATGTATCTCAAAAATTTAACTTTGGACATTTTAGAATAACTGGGTTTTATTAATGCTGGATGTGCCACAACTTATTAACCATTTGTAAGTTCCAAAAATACTTAGGGTTGAGGATATGACTTTGAAAAGAACTTGCTCTATCAGATATTTAAATTGATTATGAAATTATATGAAACAATGTATTCCACATGCTGGAATAGACTGATGAGAGGAAAAGAATATAGAGTCCAGAAATAGATCCAAGTATATATAAGAAATTAACATATGATCAGTGTAACATTGTAAATCAATGGGCAAAATGATTTATTTAATAAATGATGTTGAAGCACACTTATTGAATAAAGATGAAAAGGAAAGCTTCATGTTTGCCTCATTTGTCTCACAGAGTAAATTCCAAATAGATAAAACATTTAAATGTAACAAAAAAAAAAAAAAAAAAAAAAGAAGAAACCTGAGAAATCCTAGAAGAAAGCATGGGTTAATATTTTATTATATTGAAGCAAGAAAAGTATGATATGAAAACCAGAAGCCATAAAAAAAAAAAAAAGGTTGAGGAATATAAGGGCAAATCCTATCAGATTGAGACAAATGTCTTCAACATATCTGATAGACAAAGGACTGATATCATTAATATACAAAGAACTCTTAGAATCTCGAATAAACAGAATACCTCGGTGAAAATGGCAAAATAAAATAAATATTGGCTAAGTCTAAAAAGATCTTCAACTTTATTAGTAATCAAAGAATTGCAAATAAAAGCATGTATATTTTCTTTCTTTCCTCACTAAGATTTATCAAAATTATGGAAATGGTTAAAACAGTTTTTGCAAGGAACATAGACCTTATGTATTGTAGGAATCCTATCTAATAAAAGGGTAATATGCAAATTGACCATAATGGCAAATGATCAGTCACTATGATGCACACTGACCACTAGGAGGCAGATGCTCAATGCAGGAGCTGTCCCCTGGTGGTCAGTGCACTTCCACAAGGGAGCACTGCTCAACCAGAAGCCAGCTCATGGCTGGCCAGTGCAGCAGCAGTGGCAAGAGCCTCTCCCGCCTCCACAGCAGTGCTAAGGATGTCTGACTAATGGCTTAGGCCCTGTCTCTGAGTCGAACATCCCCCAAGGGCTCCCGGGCTACCAGAGGGATGTCAAACTGCCAGCTTAGGCCTGATCTCCCGAGGAGCGGGCCTAAGCTGGCAGGTGGACATCCCCAAGAGGTCCAGGACTGCGAGAGGGCACAGGCCGGGCGAGGGACAATACCCACCATCCCCCGAGTGCATGAATTTTCAAGCACCAGACCTCTAGTTGTATAATAATATAATATATGCCTACTCTTTGTTCATTAATATCACTTTTAAGAATTTACCAAGAGGAATTAATCTTTAAAATGGTAAAAGATGTGTGCACAAAGACAGATCCTCATCAAAAATTAGAAAACACTTAAATGATCATCAGTAGTATTTAATAAATTACTACTGTTAAGTTATGTAAATTATGGTACATATAAACAATGGAACACTTCAGACAGTAATCTTGGAATAGAATTTCTGGCCTAAAGACTATGAGTTAGAGAACAAGGCAGACTTTGGCTGACTATATAAGTTAAAGTCTGTTGTCTATGTCCATCTGTAATACTATCAACAATAAAGATAATTTTGTTTAAAAGTCAAAGTCTATCCATTTGTAACATTAAAAAACCTATACTAATAAAAGGGTAATATGCTAATTAGACTTAGATGTCTTCCAGATCACCTTCCAGACAAAGCCATGGTGGCGGGGGCTGAGGCTGAGGCTGAGGCAGAGGCAGTTAGAAGCGATTAAGCCAGAGGGAGAGCAGACAGGGGTGATCAGGCCAGCAGGGGAGAGGGGTTAGGGGGCGATCAGGCAGGCAGAGTGGCTAGGGGCAACCAGGCAGGCAGGCAGAATGGTTAGGGGCAGGCAGGTGAGTGGTAAGGAGCCACTGGTCCCAGATTGTGGAATTGGGTCTAAATCGGCAATTGGACCCTGAGGATTCCCAGATTGGAGAGGGTGCAGGATGGGCTGAAGGAACACCCCCTCTACCTCCCCCCTCCCACCCGCCTTGTGCACGAATTTCATGTACCAGGCCTTTAGTAGCAAATAATGTTTCTCATTGTAGTACTGAAATAGAGGCTGGAGGAACCTTTTAGGTCTAAATTTTTCTATCACTTCATTAAGGTTCCTTTTTTGACCATCCTAACTAAATTGCCAACACATTCTTGGCACTCTTTTCCTCTTACTTTGCTTTACTATTTCTTTATTTGAAAAGGTCCAGGAGTTATATAATTATTATCTAGTGTCTGTGTTACCCTTGGTACCAACTGATATATATTATTTGTTTATTTATTGCCTCTCTTCCCCTATAGAATGTAAGCTTCTTATGAGCAGAGACTTTGGATGTTTTGTTCTTTGCTATGTATCTATCAATCACCAGTGCCCAGAACCAGGCTTGGCATATAGTAGGTGCTCAATAAATATTTGCTGAATGAATAACTATTAGAGAAAGCAATTCACAAATTCAACTAAGTTGATCTCTTGTACTTTACATTATGGGGATATTATTTCCTAATAATAGATGTAACTATTGTGTTGTGAATGTACAGTTTATAAAACATTTTCATTAGTATTATTCAGTAATATAAATTAGATAGCTGGTTTTTTCCCATCTGTAAAGTCTCAGCTCAAATGTTTCCTCTGTAGAGCATCTGTCCATAACTTTACCATCTAAGATAATTCCTAGTCTCTATCTGTCACATCACATTGTTTTATTTCCTTAAAGTTCTTATCACTTATGACCTTATTTGTTTATGTATTCATTATGTCTCAACATGTACCATAATGTAAATTCCATGAAGACAAGTGCCTCCTGTTTTATCCTAGCACTTAGAATTCAACACATAGAGGATACTCAAATATCAGTTGAATGAATAATTGAAATAATTATTTTTAATGTTAGTTAATAATCTTCACAATAATTCTTTTTATATTTAATCCTCACCCAAGGATATTTTTTTCCTTGATCCTTAGAAAGAGCAGAGGGTGGTAAGAAAGAGAGAAAAAGAGAGAAGAAAAAGAGGGAGAGAGAAGGAGGGATAGAAAGAGAGAGAAACATTGATGTGAGAGAGACGCATTGATTGGTTTCCTCCCACACATGCAGGAGATTGAACCTGCAACCCAGGTTATGTGCCCTTGACTGGGAATCAAACCCTCAACTCTTTGGTGCTGAGCCATACCAGCCAGGGCTTCACAGTAATTCTTGACCCCAAGTATGGATTATATTTCCCTGTTTTGCATTCACAAGGCAAACTGTACTACTTCATTAGCTTAAATTAAATGTAATTGATCGGATTATATATGTTATTGTTTATTATCTCTGCTTATTTCTAACTGCAAGCTCTGTGAACTTAGGAACCATGTCTATTTTGTTCTCTTAACAATGAATATAGTGCTTTTGCAATTGGAAGTTAAATAAATATTTGTTGAATAAATAAATCTATGTACAATCTTGTGAGATAGGTATTATCTCTATCTTTAGATGAACATACTGATGCTTGGAAAAATTAAGTAATTTCTTCAAGATAATTATTTGTAGAAATAAGACTTTAGCTGACATCTTCTGACTCTCAAAATCACATTTTTTTCAACTATATTCATAGTTTATAGATGCAGATGTTGACCATAATAATCTAATGAGCTTTAGAAAGTACAGGTTCTCACACCTCTCGGAGACTACTGAAGATGGGGATCCTCTGAAGATGGGGCCCAGAACTCTATTTAAAGAAATTAGAAAAATTATTCAGGAGACTCTGATGATAAGTAACATTTAGGAATCAATGATGTATCTGTGCCGAGCCAGCTCAGCCAGGTTTGGTGAGCCTGAGAGGGGGTGATGAAGGATTGAGAAAAGACAGACAATAAAAGAAAGCTGGGTCTGGGTGGGACACTGTCCTCTCTGATGGAGAGAGGCAGTGCCACGGACTGTAAGCTGTCTATTTTATAGCCAGAGTCCATGAGGCAAAGTAAGGGCGTGCTTACAATGTTCTGATGGGTTTCGAATCTACTCAATTATATGCACTTGAATTCTATCAAGCCCACATCACTCAGATACGTGGGGCCATGTGTTCAGACCATAGGTTCAAGCTTACAACTATAGCCTCTAGGTATGCCCTCCAAGCTGGGACTTGCATGTGGCAAAGAGAGCACTGTGCCCTCTCATTATACCAAGGCTTTAACCTGTGCAAACACTGTAGCCACTCTCCACAGTATCTAGGAGTTGGCAAGCAGGTTACATGTAGCCCACTGTCTATAAAATTTTAGTGGAACAGAGTCATGCTTATTCATTTACATATTGTCTATAGATATTTTCACACTACATGGCAGAGTTGAGTATTTGTGGCAGAGACTGTATGACCCACAAAGCATAAAATGTTTACTATGTGATTCTTCACAGAAAGTTTGCCAACCCCTGATGTATACTTGGCTGCCTGTCCTATTTCTTTCTTTTTATTTTTATTGATTTGAGAGAGGGAGAGAAAGATAGAAACATCAATGATGAGAGTCATTGATTGGCTGCCTCTTGCATGCTCCTGACTGGGGACCGAGCCTGCGTCCTTGAATGGAATTGAACCCAGGACCCTTCAGTCCACAGACTGATGCTGTACTCACTGAGCCAAACCAGCTGGGTCTGTCCTATTTCTTTTGTGGTTATTTTAGTGCTTGAAGATGTGGTAAACATGATGTTTGTCTCCATTATGGGCATTACAGGAGGTGCTCAAATATTACAAATTAACTTATTTTGCAATTTATTTGATAATAGGAGACTAAGTCTTAAATAGCCTAGTCAAATATAAGAAAAATATTATCTAGGCATGGTTCAAGCCAATCAGCCTTCGCAATGGGTGAACTACTTTTAACAAAGAAATTTCTGTTCATTCTCTTGGTAATAGGGTGTTCCCTAAATGGGGGTAGATGTGAGGTTTCTTGCCTGTAAACAGTGATTGATTACCATAATTGATATGTATAATAAAGAACTATAATTAATACCCTAATTATTTTGGTATCCCTGATGCTGCCATAAGTCTTAAAACCAAAGTCCTTTGGGTGCTTTTGATTAGAACTCAACCTAATATGAGCAATTACCCAGGATTGAGCAAACCTCTAAACCTAGTATAGTAGCTGTTAGCACATGTAGGTATTTATATTTAAAATTAAATAAAATTTAATATTTAATACCTTATTCACACTAACCGTATTTTAAGTGTTCCATAGTTAGAGATGGCTGGCTAGCCAAGACTCATTATTTGACTTAATCCTTTGTAAAAATGGAATAATAATTTGTAATGTTTCCTTTTTCTAACAGCAAATAGTGATAAAAATATATTCAATCCTTGTGTTAGGGCCATCTCAGCTAAGAGCAAACTCTATTAAATTCTGATCTCTTTAAATCTTGACTCCAGAAAATAATCTATCTCATTTACCCTACGGACAAACTGTCTTTTCATGATGATTAATCATTGGCCAGTTCATGAAATAGCTTAGAACTGACTGTGATTTCTGGCCAAATCTATTTGGCTTGGTTAATGGTGGTGGGAAAGGGAGTCAATAGGTCAATAGTGTATATAGTCTTGGCATCACCTTTGAAGTGATTTAGATTTTATCATTCAGTGATTCATTTTTATTCCCAGCATCTAGTGCTTTTTGCATGGCCCAAAGGGGCCTTGTGCTGCTCCACTGCAGAGGAAACTTCAAGAAATGCTGGTTTGCTACAGTGTTTTAGCTTGTGAGAGTCTCTGGGACCTTCTCTGCTCCATCATGGGGTCTCCTCTAGGTGGGTATTAGGGGGAGATTGGTTCTTTATTAACCTTTAATAAAGAACTTGGTAATCTTTTGTGATCAAATAAGATATATATTCAATAGTTGTCTGTCCTTTAGAATGTTTTCCTGGCCCCAGAAGAGTGTCACTTTAAAGAGTGCTTCCTTAATGCAGTGTTCCTTAAAGAGGCTCTAAGGCCACTTCAACAGGCTAGAAGATTTGGTGCCACCCCTCCCCCAACCTATTTTTTAGTTTCTATAATTAGAAATGCTACATAGGACCTAGTTTTCTCTAAATTACCAGATCTTTGTCATATTGTATAATACATCAAAACAATGCAACATTGGCAGGGATGGGAGTGGGGTGGGAGTGGGAGAGACAAACCCAATTTTTAGACTGAGGATGCAAGTATAATCTCACTCATTTTGGATTTTCCTACCCTCAAATGCTCTTACCCTATGTTTCTAGATATATAGAATTTAATTTTTTTTTTTTTCTGAAATGAGACCCAACCATATTGGGTTTAAATGCTATCCCCTGATGGCAATAAGTGACCTTTCTAGGAATCAGTTTGTTCAGAAGGAATCTTCTTATCCATTTCCTACCTGTTCTGTTCTGTTTCCATGAGCTTCCTGAGCACTTCTTTGAGTCACTGTTTTATCTTGCTGTAACATTTTGGATCACTTTAGGAACTAACATGAAAAACCCCGCTGGTCATCTTTAGACATGATTTAAAAACATTCATCAAAAATGATCCACTCAGGTCATCTAAATTTTTGTTGAGCTCCAAACCAGTCTGAAAATAGCTTACTGTTTAGTGTAGATTACATCCTGAAAACATTTTTTAGGAAGTTGACTGTGATAGAGATTTCTATTTCCTTTACAGGTCATTTTACCTGGGACAAATACCTAAAAGAAACATGTTCAGTCCCAGCGCCTGTCCATTGCTTCAAGCAGGTAATTTATTCTCAACATCCTTAGTATGTGGGAGGCAAGTAGTCTTTTTCTGATCCTTAGACAAGGAAAACATGAGGTGGGAGCCTTGGGCTTCTCATCTGAAGGCCCTAGAATAAACTATGGGGAGAATGCAACTCAGAACTCACTGAGTTTTGGCAGCAGACGTTCTCCTCAACTTCATTCAAATACCTTTTTCTTCTTCACCTCCTTGAAGATATTCTGTGTTACTGAAAACAATAACTAATTTTTATTATTGCTATTTAATCAGATAGCAGGATACATAGTTATAGCCCTTGGTCCACGGACCACTGTTGGTCCATGAAGTCTGAAAGGTGGGCAGCCGCTGGTTTAAGGAAACCTTTGAAGCAGCGGTTAGCAACCTGTAGTCCGTGGATCACAGGTGGTCTATGAGGTCCGACAGATTGGTGACCACTGCCTTAGACAGTTCTTAAAAGTAGAACAGTATTTGTTTCTCTGCACTCAACATCCCTGCCACAGTCATTTCTTTTCATAAAAATACTGGTATTGAGTCCTATCAGGGTAGGGGGAGTGTTTGAAAGAGCTCAGCAGAGGCCATTCAAAGGTTCCCACACAGAATTAAGTGCTCCACACAATGCATAGATGATATTAATTATATCTGTACATGATAAGACTAATAAGCAAATTCTGTACTGCTGCTAAACAGAGCAATTTATATCTCCCTCTGATACTAATGATTATTTCCTCAAACTGTCAACATTTTACTTTGAGTTTGAATCTTATCTATGCTCTAAATAAAAGTACAATTCAGGGCTTCTGCTCATTTGAAATAATAGGAGCTAAATTTATGTTGCCATCTAAAATAATTTTTAAAAAGACAAAACATATTAAACTGGTTTTCAAGTAACTGAAAATCAAGCAATCAACCACAGTGATCTCTAAAAGATGGAGCCCCTTATGATTTCCCAGCTTACTACCTTAAGAGAGTTTTGAGACCATGGCCCAGGGAAGGTGACTTAAGATTGAGCCCAGAACTCTGTAATTTGAGGATATGGAACTGAGAGTCCAGGACACCATAGTGGCTAGAATTGTCAGAACACATTGCCAGAAAGAAGAGAGCTGCGCAAAAAGCAAACAACAGAAATGTGCAGAAATCTCCCTTCAAGTATTGAGCAAAGTACTGTTGTTCAGTATGTGCATGTGAGGCAACTACCCAAAGCCAAGGGAAAAACCATCTGAAAGGTTTAAATGGAATAGACCCTGGCACTCACACTAGGCTAAGAATAACCCCTGATCCCACCAACTAGATTGGAAAGTCTCAGTTCACATGGCATTGGGTGGAATACTCAGGAAAAAATTTGCTCAATAGTGGTAAATAATTAGCCTTAAAGTGAGCACTGTTCTGAGCCCGCCAAGAAAATCATAAAGCAAAATTCAGAATGATCAAATCATTTCCAAGTAACTTAGTTGAACCTAGGAACCAACCACAGAAGGGAATGCAAAAATATCTAGCACCCCAAGGAGGGCAGCAGGGAGATGGGAGACATCTGTAATAATGTCAACAATAAGAAATTTATATCTAGTATCCAGCAGGTAAAATTCACAGTGTCTGGTATCTGATCAAGCCAGATATGTAAAGTGGCTGGAAAATATAGTAACCAATAATGTGCAAAATAATCAATCAATAAACTGACTTAGAACCTATGAGATCTTAGAATAGCAGGCAAAAACATAAAACAGTTATGTTCAAAAGTTTAGCAGGGAACATGGAAGATATTTAAAGACTCATATTGTACTACTATATACAAAATAAAAACACACTGGATGATATTAATGTTAGGAGAAAATATTGGTGGATTTCGAATGAAACACACACACACACACACACACACACACACAAGAATCTTGAAAAGATGAAAAGAACATTAGTGAGCCATAGGATGACTTCCAAGTTTATGTGATAACTTCATAGACCATGTAATTTTAATGCCCAAAGGATAGAAGGGGACAGAAAAATATTTGGAGATATAATGGCTAAAAACTTTCAAAAATTTATTAAAACTACCAGTATTAATCCACAAATCTAAGAAGTTCAGTGACAAAAAAAGAAAGAAAAAAGAAAACAAAGAAGACAACTATACTAAAGCATATCATAAATGCTTAAAATCAGTGGTAAGAGAACATTTTAAAAGCAGCCATAATTTTTTTGCATACAAGGGAACTAAGATATGAATGACATTATATTGTTAGAAACAATGCAAGCAAGGAGGAAGTTGAGTAACATCTTTAACATATCAAAAGAAAAACTGTCAATCTAGAATTCTATATTCAGCAAAAATATCTTCCAAAAACCAAAGGCAAAATAAAGGTATTTTTAGACATCCAGAAGCTGAATGAATTTACCAGGAAACCCACTAAAAGAAATGTTAAAGGAAGTCCATCAAGCAGAAGGAAAATGATAGTAGGTGAAATTATAGAACTATACAAAGAAAATCACTGGAAATTATAATTACAAAAGTAAAGACATAGATTTTTTTATTATTAAATCCCTCTAAAAGCAATTGTATAAACAACAGTAATATTGCATTGTAAAGATAATTAAAATTTGTATAAGTAAAATGTATAACAATAACTTAAATGCCAAGAGAAATTCTAAGTATAATATTGATAAATTCATAGACATGAAGTAGTATAATATTATTGCAAGATAGACTGATAAGTTAAATGTGTTTACTACAAACCCCAAAGCAACCATTAAAATAATAGAAAACAATTAGCAATATAGTGGAATTAAATCCAACCATATCAATAATCCAAGTGATTATAAAAGGTCTAAATGCCCTAATTAAAAGGCTGAACTTATCACATTAAATATAAAGCAAGACACAATTATATATTGCTTGCAAGAAACTACACTTTAGAAAGAAAGGCACAAATAGGTTGAAAGTAAAATTATATACCATGCTGACATTGACCATATTAATATGAATGTATATTTCAGAGCAAAGAATATTACCAGGGATAAAGAAGGAATTTTATAGTATGTATTAAGAGGTCAGATTCCTTAGATGAAGCAAAAAATTATATGAAGACATAAGTCTAAAATTTATCTGCAATCAGACTTTTAATAACTTTCCTATGATTAGAGAACAAGTAGATAGAAAATAAGCAAGTATCTAAGATTCAGACAACACTATTAGCCAACTTTTGGCACCAAAACCACAATCAATAGAGGTAACCTGATTGATACTCTCTAACGACAATAGAATATGCATTCTTTTCAAGTGCACACAAAACATTTTCCAGGTTAGACTATATTCTGGACTATACAATAAGGCTTGATAAAGTTAACGGGATTTAAATAATAAGAAATGTATTCTCTGATGCGTTGGAAATAAATTAAAAATCAATAGCAGGAAGTTATCTGGAAGACTTCCAAATATTTGGAAACTAAGAATCACATTTCTAAATACCCCTATAGGTATTTAGGAACATTAGAAAGTATTTTCAGTTAAATGAAAATGAAAGAACATTTAAGAATTTGTGGTATGATGCCAAAGTAGTTTTTAGGGAGAAATTTCTAGCACTAAACACTTACATTCAAAAAGAAGAAAAGTTTCATATAGCTCCTACTTTAAAAAACTAGGAAAAATGAATAATTCGCCCCAAATTAAGCAAAGGGAAAAAAAAGAGCATAAAATCAAGATTAGAGCTTAAATCAATCAAATATATACCAGAAAAATAATAGAAAAAATATTATTGAAACCTACAGCTGATTCTTTGCAATAAGATAAACTTTTGGCTAGTTGATCAAAAATGAAAAGAGAGAAAACAAGTAACTAATATCAAACTAAAGAAGGTAACATTATTATTGAATCTATAGATTAAACAGATATTAAGTGAATACTATGAACAAACTTATGCCTTTAAGTTTGACCATTTAAATAAAATGGATAATTTCATGAATGATAAAAATTACCAAAGGTCACTTAAGGACTTTAATAAATAGCACTATTTCTGCCACAGATCTAAAATATTTAGAATATTCCACGTCTAGATGACTTCACCGGTGAATTGTTTCAAACATTTAAGGGAAAAAATAATGCAAATTCTACATAGACTCTTTTAGAATGTTTAAGAGAAGGGAATACCTTTTGTCTCATTATATGAGGCAAGTATTATTCTGATACCAAAACCAGGCCAACATTGATAGAAAAGAAAACTTACAGAGTTACATCCCACATAAAAATACATGTACAAATTCAAAACAAAATTTTAGAAAATTGAATCAATCAGTGTAATTGACCACATGAACACACTATGAAGGAAAAAATAAGATCATCTAAATAGATGCAAAGAATTCAGTGTCCATTAATAAAAACTCAGAAAACAAGAAATAGAAGGAATTTTTTAAAATCTTAAACATCAAAGGACATCTATGAAAAATCTACAGATAACATCACATAAAATGCTTTTTCCTTAAGGTCAGGAACAAGACAATGATTGTTCTTGCTACTTCTGTTCAGCAGTGTACTACCAATGAGACCAAGCCAAATAAAAGAAAAGCAATCCAGACTGAAAAATTAGAACAAAAACTGAAAAAATATATGGGAAGACTGACCTTACCTACTAGTTGCAAGGTTATGGTGCAAATAGGATGGTCATAAACAATTGATGAAAATGTAAAATGGTTCAGTTACTTTGGAAAATAGTTTGGCAGAATACTTCAACATACTATTGAACAAAAATAAAAATCATTAAGGTAACTAGGAATTGAATAATATATTTTTTTAAATAGGTGGTTTTGATTTTGCCTTTTTTTAAAATATATTTTTATTGATTTTGTACAGAGAGGAAGGGAGAGAGATAGAGAGTTAGAAACATCAATGAGAGAGAGTCATCCATCAGCTGCCTCTTGCACACCCCCTACTGGGAATATGCCGGCAACCAAGGTACATGCCCTTGACCGGAATCGAACCCAGGACCCTTCAGTCCCAAACCAACGCTCTATCCATTGAGCC